AACGACACGCCGCTCGGGCTATTATCTGCGATTGACAGAGGATGTGCCCGAATTGCTAAATTATAGACCATGGAACGATTTTCCTACAGTAAAACCCAGAATCTCGAAGTGATCGACGATATTGACTTCTAGTGCCGATGGACGCTGGCTTTTATTCTCTAAAATGCCGCTGGTATTTTGTCTAATTTGATATCAGACACCTGCTTACCCCAGTACGGGACGGGTGTTGGCCAAAGATTGAGCTGGGTGGAAAACTACGTAGAGGTAGCGTGTGAGCGACTTTGAGCCGATAGCTCAGTAATTTCCCTAATGAAAACGAATAAAAGGCGAGGGCTCCTTCCAGGACAGTCGACGAAACAGGGAGGCTCAAAAGATCAACTTGATTTAACAGTTGGCATCGACATCGACCGAGGGTGGCTACCTACGGTTTCTCCATATCTTTCTTTGCTCTCAATCGTAGTAAAGAGCACTTTTTTTTTTAATATCCACCGCCTGCATTGAGTCGACTGCCCTCGCACCATCCCTACAACTTGCGGTCATCCCACGTCGATCCTTCCTCGAAGCGTTGCAAGTTCTTACCGATCCTTCTTATCAATATAGATAAGGCAGAGGAATAGTCCACGGACTTCAGGCAGCCTCACATATGTATATTCGTCGATGCCAAGTTCCGAAATCCGCCTAACCCTGTATCCATTGTAGCATCACGTTGCTACTAGAGTTCTGGGGCTGGGTTATTATAGCCACAAGTCATCTGCACGGCTATTTAACTATGCTCGTTAGTCGGTAGTCGAGTAACTGTGATTACAAAATCCTGAAATTTCAATATTAGGATCAGTAAACGCAGGTGCAGGGGAAACAGTTACACTGGGTGAGGGCAGATAAAGACAAGCTTCGCATTTTTACATGAATCAGTAGTAGATAAGTGCACCCCCATGATGTTTCCGCTGCAGCCTCTGGTAATGACATTTGATGTTACTTTTTATTTATCAAAGTTCTCACTCGATAGGTTAGGTTTTGCATAACAGATTGAAACTGTTACCAACCATTTGTGTATTCATTTTCCGAGCGGCTTATGGACATTAAATATAGTTATACACATGCCAGTTGAAATTCAGAAGCTCTGCACATTTTTTGTTTAAAAAAAGTTGTAGAAAGCTTATGTCGGCTTTTTATGCAACGAACTAAGGCTATAAGACTGAGATAAGGATAATCTGACCAAAGCAAATGATACTTGACACAATATATAACTCAATATATTAGTACCGATGTAAAATATCGACTTTTAAACTGTCAAGAGACTTTTACCCTATGTTGTGTAATCTTTGGTAATATGTTATTGTCGTTTTTGCTCATTGCTACGTTACCTAACTTCTCGTTTGCGATAGTCGATTTTTATCAGGTGTTCGAAGACTGCCCCTCTGCTCTACAGGTACTTTTCGTCCTAATTGCAAAATTTCACATCCAGCTTGAGTATCAACAGTGGATGTATTGGATAAAAAAGGCAAATTTGCGGTACGGCCATTTTACCGTTGTAGAAATGCTACACAAGCAAGTTAGGAGGTTGATTAAACGTAAGATGAGCGCTCTATAACTCAGCTTTAACCTTACAACTATGCTTTTTCGAAAATTGCTTGAAATGATCTTCGATAAACGCGAAAAGTCGGGAGGAACGCGTTCTTTGGATCGCAAATGCCGCTTTTTAACTTTGCAATACATTCTTGAATAATACTTCCTTTTATAAGATCTTCATCGTACGCACCTTAACTGTATCGGGTTTTTCTTGCAGTTCCCTGACGTCGACTAAAAACAAATAACAAGTGGCACCCAAAATATACATTTTTGGGACTTTAAACTCAAGGCGAGGTTCAGATCTAAGTTAGATTATACTAAAAAGATCACAGAGAAAAAAGAGATCTTGTTCAACGTGCGGTATCTCCTTGCCGGATATAACATTTAACTATAAGCAGAAGAAAAATTGGTAAGAGAAAGAAATCAACAAAGATTAAAGAGTTTTAACAGAATAAAAATTGATTTTACTACCCTGTACGACGACATATGCGTGTATGTATCAGTGGCTCGTATTGATCCCATCGCCGTTTTAGAAAACATATGATAGTGCCAACATCACCCTTGACGGACTCAGTCACTCTAAGCGTTTTTTTCTAACGGCGTTCAACGACCCATGTCTCACCTACGATAGCTGAATCGCAGTACACAAGCTTTCTTTAGACCCCAGGGATATGTGATGTTTATAGGCCATCTTCTTTTAGGCCATTCAGATGCCTTATACTCTTTCCACTAGAAATCATCGTAGTAAGTGTAACGGGCAGTCGACGCTTCCGTTGCATCTCAATTTGAGTCTTGAGCATCTGGCACCAAGAAAACGCAATTTCAAATGAAAGCAGCCATAATCTCAACCGCACCTCACACACGGTACACCTACTCGATACGAAATCCACACGCATCGTGGGTTGGCTTATCCGTTGGTGTAGGCTGAGCCTTTCTGGGCTATGAGCTCCCTGACCAGACCCGGTGATCCCCTCTGCTGGGAGACACATGTGTGCTCATTAGGGCGCGTTGCATATAGAGTCGTCTCCCTGTTGCATTTTTCAAGACACAATCTACTAGAGGTTTGCTTGCACTACGATATCGACTAAGCCGGTCTATGTCGGTGCACGGAGCACCGAGCCGTTCATTGAAGTCTTGCCTTACTATGCCCTTCTTCGGCTGCTTCGTTGCCTGATATCCGAGACAGCTTAAGGGAGTTTCTTTCCCATCCCGTATTGATGCCCCCAACGAAAGAATTCCTTTGTTTGGATTGGTAATATAGACTATGGGGGCTCAGCGTCTTGTGCCCTGCGTGAATCTACCTATGTAATATGCAGTAGAAGGTGTTAGGAAAACTTAAATCTGCAACGATTATACTCACCCCCTGGATGAAGTAAGCGATTCTACTTCAAATTTCAAAGTTGATATTATTTAAGCTCAATACATTCAAATTGAAACATAATATCTTACGTTAAACGTGTCGCTAACGTTATCTGGCATTTTTTGAATCAATATCTTCCTGACAACTTCTCGCTAAAGAAACTGAGCTATTCCCTATATTCTTTACGTTAACATACAACAGAGCCCACATGTTTTATTTTTTATGCGAACATCTAATTTCGCAGTTAACTCAAAGGCTTTTTGTGATAGTGTTTCCTTAGGTGTAGACCGATAAACCTGTGAACATGTCTATTTTTTTTTTATTATCGTGCGGATCGAGGCTGGACGCGCAAATGCTATTAGAGTATTATTATTATTCATGGTATGATTTGTAGGATTGCAAAATCTTCCCACAGCTCAGCTTTTGGTAGTATAGATTCTGTCGTGTACTGTATAAGTTACTTAGTTACCGTTTATATATATATATATATATACACCGAGAAAAGATGTTAAAAACACAATTAGCTTGCCCTGTCGTATACTAACACGCAAGTCAAGCTTTATCCTTCATAATTGAACAAGCAGATCTGTGCTAATCAAAGTCAAATGAATAGAGTTTGTATTAAATATTAGATTAGAATGAATTAATACCAAATACGAAGTTTGAGAGAATTCCGCTATTGTTTGTTAAATAATATATATAATACTGCTTAATATATTCGCGCAGAATTTTCTGCGTCCTTCTTCTTATGCCTGAGACACCTTCCAATCGGTATATGTGTGTACCTTGGCTAGTAAACGATTGTACTGTTATTCTCTATAGAAAGACTCCTATGAGGTTTGCGACCAGGCACAGATGTTTCTGCAGGCCGCTCCCGCAACCTGCTTTCAGGATATAAGACAGACCTTTTTCACTGGCGACCAACCGTTCAAACAATATCTCTTACTACTCGTGTTTCCTTCGTCGGGCTTCCGTGGTTGTTCACGTCCCTTGCTTTTGGCAAGCTACACAACGGCATCAGCAGCAGCTTTGAAATTCTCCAGAGTCACTCATACACTCGCAGGAACATTGGATTTCTCGAAACTGAGTCGTCCGCCTTCTCATCAAGGTTCAAGAGAAGGATAAGAAATGATAACATCTTTACTAAATGAACTAATTGCTCACGAAGCTTAGGTTTTGTCGTTCAACATTCGATAAGACATGTTAATAACAAGAAGGGCGTAAGGCAGAAACGAAAGGCAAAAAAAATGGTTGAGCGGTAGGCCACGTTTGATCTGTCTGATTCTATTTCTGTTTTTTTTTCTGACCTTTCTCTATGTCCTCATGTTCATTTTTATACTTCAAACTAGTGCCTTTTCACCCAGGTTAACCGAGACCGTCACACATTTGCGTAAGGCGGGGCTGGCTCTTCAGCTGTCCAATAGAAATAGTTAGTCTGTTTCTGTCTGTAACAAGGAGGCTTAGAAGAATTCGGCAGTGGCGCAGGAACACGGATGGCAAAAACACGACGAGTGTGAGAAAGATAGAGAGCAAGAATTTCGAGGAGATCCACGTGGAACGAAGGGGCAGCAACAGGACAAGGGACAAAGTCGTCGGAAGCAATAACCCACCGCCGATGTAGGTCGGCTGGCTGGCACAGCTAGTCGGGCCAATCGGGTTGGAACTTAAAACACTTGAAAATTTGGACCTTCAATGAACGAGCCTCGATACGCAGTTGACACTTCAGATTTCATTCGTTGAGGATTTGCCGCTCGGCTTCGCGGCTAGAGCCGGCAGGTTTATGGTAATGGACAAAAACTAGCGTAAGCCAAATGAAATTTCAAGGATTCTGGAAGGAACCAGCAAAAAAACTACTTTTTTGCACACATGCACAGCAGATGAGGTGGTCATCGGCATTGTTATGCGCGGATGCTCTGCTATTGGCGCCACCTCACTGTATCCCTGTCGCTGCATTCGCGTGGCCAATTTTTCCACCGAGCGCTGTTTGCCTGTCCAGCCTTCGGTTGAGTCCGTTTTCCAAAACAATAACGAATCTCAATAGACATTCCGTAAAGCAGTGGACCTGCCGAGGGCTGCTTTACGACGAATAGTATACAATCAGAAGCTAACAAACTGTGTGTAAACTGTTTTTGATTATGACACATTATGTAAACAGTCCAAATGTTGTTCTCCTCTGTGCAGCAGTGTCATCTTTACTAAGCCGCTCTGCCTCTGCGACTGACATTAAACTGGCTTTCTCGGCTTCATCGCAGCCGTCGTCGTCGTCACCAGGCGCGACACTCGCAAGTATCCTCAGGCTGCGGCAGTCTGACGGCGAAGCCGAGGAACTCGGAGGATGTTGGGCTACGACATTACAACAGACGAAGCAATCGTGCGTGGATTTAGACAGTACGAGGCAGGCCGCTTTAGCGTTACGTTATCTCAATTGCCAGCTCCACCAGTTAGGGCTGCCAGAAATCCGTTGTCCTGATTTAGATAAGTGTGCAACGTTCAAGGAGATCTCTAAATCGGCCTGGCTACTACCTGTATTAGTTCAGTTTCACGTACAGGTGATGTCAACGTGCGCATTTCAAGAGTTACACAATCAGCAAAAGCGGGTGGTGAAAGTGGCCCGGCAGATCGCGGAGGCGATTGATGGCATCTCGGCTGACATCCGCCAGCTTCTCATTGTTGGACAGAAGGTAAAACTTTTCGAAGATCGAATTGGCTTGCTACAAAATCAAACTTTAATGAAGCAAACTCGTATTAAAAGGATGGTCGAATCCGACCATATGGTTCGTATATATGAGACAATTGAAGAAATGCGGGTGTTTCTCACAAGCACATACTATTCGGCTCAATTTTCAATAGAGTCTTTTATATTACTTGTTATCTCATTGGCGCTCACGTATCCGTCGTCTCTTCGATTTGCCCGAGGTCATTTGGCCGGATTGGTTGGTCTTAAATTGTTCATTGAGCGACAGATTATCTACAGTTTACTCAGACATAACAAGTCAATTGACGGAAGCTTGACGAACGTACAGATATTTAGCAGGACTGTGTTTTTGTTGGGGGCCATGCTGCTGCTAACGAAGGGCAATAAAGCAACTGAGTCAAAAGTGACTTCAAGAGACATTGAGAATAGTATACGTCAGCTTGAAGTAGAGTTGATCATGTTACACAGTAATCGCCCGTTGAACTTGGCTACTGAGTGACTATTGATATAGAGCTAATTAAATACTATGATTTAAAAAGAGCAGCTTTTTTGTTCAGTTCTCCACGTAAGTATATCACTTACTTGCTCTTTAGGCATTTAATACGCACAAAGTTATGAACTTCGCTTTGTGACGGCATTCATCTTTACTTCTAAACCGGATTGCATCCTGGTGTAGAAATGATGATTCATTAAGTGCAACTTAAATATTAATTTATCAAATCAGGTTTGTTAAATTGAAGTTACATTTAATGAATCATATTTATTTTAATGAATTTAGATTAAAGAACAAATAATCGTCTTATAATAATTTTTATTAGTATTGAAGTTCCTGGTCGAAAAGCGGTCAGGGAAAGAGCATGCATAGATTAAATACGCAGAATACTGATAGTCAGTCGACAACGATTGTCCCCATGTAAGCAGAAAACTATTATGGATTGCCTAACCTTGTAAATTTTTAGGGTTTATGAACCACTTGGACAAGCTCCGTTAATGGCGCAACGTAGTATCACGTGTAATTCCCATTCCTAGAAAGAAACCCACCCCTACTGCTTTGAAATATATATTCACCAGCAATGATCTGTATCTCTTCTGATAAAAAAAAAACTCCATGCTTTTATAGATGAAATTAGGGTGATTTATTTGTAGATTGCGATCTAAAAGAACAATCGTTCAACACAGGTTGATCTCGAACTATGAATAGTTCGCATAAGCCATATGTAGAGTTGGGAAATATACTCGATGATAAAGCCCTTTCATCGTTACTGTGCTCCTAACTAAATGTGATTAACTGATTTTTTTTTAAATTAAAAAAAAAACTTTTTTTTTTAAAAAAGTTCTAGTTTTTTTAGAGCTTTACGTCCGATACTGCTGTTAAGTACACTGTCGCACGTCTGAATTTCTACGTAAAACTATTCTGGCTATTCGTCAGCGCTCAGTTCACTCGAGTTGAAATTGTGTGTCACAGGGTTACAATCGAACGATTATGGAGAAAAAAAAGAACAAATTTTCAGGACATCGTCAACAGGAGAAGGAAAGTTGGTGCATATCACTGATTAAACATTTTGCGTACATGAGTCCGTGGCAGTGTTTCAGTCTAAACATATATAGCAGTCCTCTTACGGCGACTTACGAATAGTCCCGTCACAGACGACAAAATAAATGATCTCTACAACGTTTACAACAGCACTCATTATATCATTTGATAAGCAAATTAAACACGCCTGTCCATCGTGCGGAATTGACTCGTACACCTCCAATAAATCGAAGAATCTTCACGACATGCGAAAAAAGATAGGTGCTTACCGAGAACCTGGCTTTAACTGTGGGGTGGACCTCGAAATCTCTGGTCGTCTGGCTTTCTCCAACGCGCGCATGGTTTTTCGAAGCATACACACACGAATCACAAATCCCAGTATTTCTCTACGAATATATGGTATACAGAGGAGGTTGAAGGACCGAACTATTGGAAAACGAGAGCACGTTATAATTCAAACGGTATTTGACACTTTTTGTATCGTTAAAAATCGTCGTGGAAAATCCCACTGAGACAGGGTGACTCCGGTACGTGCGAGGTGCACTCTTGAAAAATGACCGTACAGAGGTTCTTCTTTGCAGATACAGTGAAACGGTCGACCGGACGAAGGGTCATCAGAAGAACGACCTTGGTTAGGCCATTCTTACTTGATCACGGTTGGGTCAATCTCAGACGACAAAAAATACCAGGCGCTGCGCCGGTGACAATATATCCGTGGTACAATAGTGTCGTCGATGCGATTCTATATGCTATGACAGCAGCTATTAACTAGTTCTAAGTGTGTTTACGCTCGCTGGTGCCGCAGAATGCTCCGAAGTACCTAAGCATAGAGAGGACAGAATGTTGGGCCACTCTTATTATTGTACTATTTTATTCAGTTCGAAAAGGATTGTCATCCCGATGATCATTATGCAAGCTTAGGTGCTCACTTTAAACAGGAGCACGCTTCTAGAACTTAATTGCTAGTAAATTGATAACGTAACAGTAGACCGAGATTCAGATCATCATACCGAGACGGTCGCCTGATTCGTGGTAAAACTATTGTCGCCGTTTCTTTAGTTGTGGTCACTTGCATATGCAACTATGCATATATATATATATACGCGTTCACAGAGCAACAGTTCTCCGCTATATAGATATATCACCGTTGCGTTCCTGATTTCTCTCTTACTAGCTGTCCAGTTACAGTATATTAAATAAGGATACATATGCCGAAAAAGGCAGGCGTCATGGTGATATTCAGTGATTGTCTCCGCAGTTGGATAATATGTAAAAACCAGCGCCAATGACAGCGTTTCTAATCTTCCTTGGTCATGATGAAAGGAATGCTCATCACGGCCTAGTGAGGCCATAATCCGAACGCCCGGAGAACCTGGGTTTCTACAATATCCCATCATTTGGCGGCGCTGGCCGCAGAAGGACAGCGAAGAGAGGAATCGAATAGGCATTAGGAGGCGGTATCAACAGTTGACGTAGCAATAGTATGCATTCGGTGATATATCGGGTTGATATTTAGCGGTTAGAAACCGTCGGATCGCCGTGGAGTATACCCACTTGCTGTGCGTGTCGGTTATCCGTATGTGATGTCGCGATAAGTGTCGGATGATCGAAGACACTGTGACGATATAAACCGGACCTATGGACAGATATGTACTAGACAGTTGGCAAGATCCTGAACAAGATGTTAGCCACTTGCATATACTGCTTGAATACAATGCGTGTACAGCCAGAGAATGTACTGAACTGGTTACTTGTTATTTTAGTTAAACCACAGACACGTCAGATAAAATAGCAGTTATAACAGTATACGATACCCTATCAACTTCCTTGTATCTGGTATCGTTTTCAGCGTAGGCAGACGGGCTTCCCTTTGAATTTTTCTAGACTTGAATATTAATGGTAACATAACGTAAAATTACTCAACTAATACGATAAAATTCGGTAGGCGTTCGTGCGCAAGATTATATTGGATTTTATGGTATTTCTCAAATACGAAAAGGTTTTGGTTGTATGTGCCCTTTGCTTGAGCCGTAAACATAATACGAAATGGACAGCCTTACATTTGCCAGTTTATAGATGTTCTTCTGACTACAGATGAGATATTAAGCCGGAAGTAGCCATGCAAAATCGTCGACGATTTGCATGGCTACTTCCGGCTTTATTTTATGCATTATTTTTGGTATTCATTTCTGAGTAGACATTTTTCGTTTTTACGCCCGCAGCTCGTTTTTTTATCGCCTACTTCCTCCGCCTGGACGTATCTTTTTAATGCGACCATTTGTCCACAGATGGGGTAGTCATCAATGAAGCGTTGGCGAGCACGCTCTATCACTACATTGAAAGCAGAACGAACAAACGGCACGCATCAGGCGTCTTCAATTTGATCTCCTCCTACTGCCGTCATCCGTCCGCGCATTATCCCGTTGCCTCTGTAGGACCATGCCTTCACTCAACCTCTATAGGGGTTTCCCAGTTCCTCTTGGGCTCTTCGTCATAGCTTATCCATTTCCACAACCTCTACTCGTACGAGTCCTCTATCCCCAGAACATCATACTCTGTCGATTCATTCGACATAACTCTACGATTTTCGTTCTCGCTTCGCGTTCAGAGTCTCGGCTCTTTTTTGAACCCCAGTTACTCCCTCGCCACGCTTTTATTCCAGTTTTCCCTCTGCCCCCGGGTCCCTTTTCTGCCTTACAGTTTGCGTCGCCCCCTCTTCTCGCCTGCTTTTCATTTCGTCGTCTTCTTCAGCCCTGTCTGTGGCTGAGTTGGCTGCTGCTCCACGGAAGGAGCTTCCGATCGAATTTCCCCCAGTTAGTTCTGGCCTCATTTTCCCTAAATCCCTTCGATCGTCATCCGTAGGCCCAAACGCTGCCCACTCTTCTCTTATTAGGTCAGTCGTGCCAACAGCCCACGGCGGTGGATTTAAGCGATTTTAACGTTGAAGGACCGTCTTGATTATGGGATGGATTTTTGGTGAGGACCACACTTCACTATGCTTCAGGCCTATACAACGTTCAGGCATGTGTTGGAACACCCACACTTACTTCTGCATTCAGCCAGGGTTTTTCTACGCCGGCCAACAGCTTCATAAATGCAGGCCAATGCACGCATGTGCACGCGCGAGCATTCACAGTCAGATTTGAACAACTTAAACCAACAGATTGCTCACACGTAGCCGATGAAACCTCCACTGCATTAGAAACGGATATGATAACGACGCTGGCTGGCCGCATTGTTTCTAGCTTCTGAAACGAGTGGTGTCATTGCCTCTATGCGTGGGAAGGGGTTTGTGACGCCAGCAACTCTTGCTCTTAGTTGGTTTTCACAACTATGACGACCGGCACAGCGAGCTTAGCTGTTGGCTTTCGATTTCGGTCTAAAGGGTGCATATACAACGGCAGCAGCACCAGTTGATCGCATTCTCTCTTCTCGTCCTCCTACATGTCTCTTTTTTTCGAGTTCGTTTCCACTGGCTTCCGATAGTTGAAGCCATCTAGGAAGTGTGTAGCTGATGGGAACCTCCGCCTTTGAAATATAAGTGCGAAGCAAGCATTGCGTTTCTCCAAAGTGTACTTTGGCGCCGAAAGAGTCGTGCAAAAGTTCCGATTGGTAACAGTAGCATAGTAGCATTATAGTGTAGCGACCGTACGGCCAAAGACTTTTTTCTTTCTCACCTGCGCTGTGCATAGAATTGGAGCAGGTCGACATGATGTGGGCCGATTGAGGGGTACCCGCACTCGGACGAAACCGTAATGGAGGAGAAACGTAACTAGAGGAAGTAAAAACGAGCGGTGTTTCCACCTCCGTCTTTTCTACCGGCTACTGCAGGCGTCGGGCGAGGCTGCAACGAAAAAAATAAAAATCTTCCTAAAGTTCGTTCACGCGCGCAAGAATGAATGGTTTCCTTTTCCGCTGCGGAGGCGAAGACGGGACGGACGTGTACAAATGTACGCGTAGTTGTTCCAAGAAGGCGGCATGCGCTAAACGCCACGAGAATGCACCAGCTAAACTTACCAACAGATGATCCTCTCATGCAGTGTGTAGGCTGAGCGCAAATTCCGGACGAAATTAGCTTGTCTGCCGGTCCTTCTGTTGAACAAGCAGCCGAGCGTGATCTATGCCACCACACCGGTACGGGTATAAGCGCCTTGCGTTATACTTCCTTTTTCTTCGTGGTAATTTGTTCATGTCATCTTTAGTAGTAACATTAATAATAGCCTTTGTAAGTGAGCGCCGAATGGCAGCGTAGACGGTGCCAGAGAGCAAGTAGACGATGAAAGGACCCGTCAAGGGAAAACAAGGAGGGGAGCATGAAATGAATAATTTTTGTTACATCAATTGGCATCAAGTTGTTTGCTTACGAATAGGCTGGCTAGAGCTCATCTTCACATGAGTTGAATAGTAAACTGGACATCGCGGTTTAGTGTCGAAAGCGACGACCAAGTCCAAACAATACATCGGATAGTCGAGGAGTCACATATGCAGAGGAACGGAAATCGTCAATGATTGAGCTAATCCTGATATCACTACGCAAGACAACCTGCAATTCGCTGCAAAATGTCTCTGCTCTAATCGTGATAAATTTTGCCGTTTGCTTCGCAGATTTTCTATAGGAAGGAACTAAACTAAGATCTACTGAAAGCGTAAGATAATTTCCTGTTCGACTAACGAACTCAATGTGAGACGTTAGCATTAATAAAGATAAAAGTGACAAGCGTTAGGTCATACTATGTTGCTTCTATTTGCACCCTTTTGACATGTTTGTTCTTCGGTATCATATTCAGAGTACGAACGCTGTTATGGCAAAACAGAACAATGCTAGACGGTCGTATAAATGACTCACCGCGGTATTATTCATTTTTTGGTTTAGTGACTGAGCTGAATCTAGAAGCTTCGAATCTTAAAGAAAAAAATAGACTAGACTACGTGCAAGCAGTTTGTCACATTTTACATTTAAGGTACGGTGGACTCTCGCGTCGACACTTCAAGGACAGCATAGCCAGCTAGACTATCAGGACTCTTAATGCTCAGGCCAAGGTTGCTGACAGCCGTTGGAGAAGCTTGCCGCTTGCGCGACGTGGTCTGCGCAGTCGTCGGTTTCAATGACGACAACTAACCGTAGGATCACGGTCCTGAAGGCTACCATACGGTCGAGTCGACACAACTCATCGAGTCCAAGCTGATGATAAGGTTGTTACGCCACTATGCTGTCCTGCGATAGCTCATCGATCTTTTCCAGCTGTGTGTTTTGCGGTCAGATTGTCCATTGATTGCAATTTTATTAGCTGACAAGCCGATAACTTCACAAAAGTGGCAATCCAGTTCCCTAACAGAGTTATCTGGCAGTATAGGGTAGCACTTTTGGTACTTTCTCTTTTCCAGCTTCAGAGTACACATTTTGCAAGACGATCCATTGGGTTATTTTTCTTTATTGAATCTTTCCGATCGCCTGGTTACCGTTCGGGCACTTTAGCTTTGATAGTTAACTGTAAGTTTTTACACCTTCAGGCTCATCTAGGGAATCTATAGTCCCTTTCCGATTCGTTTATCGCTTTTATCATTTGTAGTTGGTGATGAATTTTTAGTTGCACAATACAGATCTACAATATGCTGTTTCGAATAGAACGAGTTCGGCTGTAGTTAACACTGAAAAGCATGCCAGATCATGCTAAATCGCCATGTTTCCTATCAGATACAATACTGTACAAGTATCACCTCTATATAGCACTTTTTAAAATTACTTACTGTAGAGCTTGATCGGAACGTGTCTTGCATTTAAAACGATCAAATGTTTCTACCCATTGACGGACGCACCTGTAACAAGCTATCTCGGTTCCGGGACAAATATCAGTTTCAATTATGCCTGCTGCATGGTATCTTATGAGCTCCGTACCAGGATCGAGGGGCTTCAAATAGGGGAAGCTCGAAAAGGGTGCCACTTTTCAGCCCTTGCAATACATGAGCTAATGGAAAGCGCAGAGTATGCTCGTGGTTGGCATTAGTTGCGTCTTCCATTATTTTCTTCCAACTAAGCCAGGAATACTAGCGACAACGATTTTTAAAATTACGGCTAGTACAAAACTCGTCTACAGCATTGATTAACTAATTCACGGAAAGTGAATTTGTCTAAACCCCATAAAAAAGATTATACCAAAAAACCTAGCAGTCGGAAAACTGCTAGTTCAATATAGCAACCTAAAATAGTATAGACGCATGGCGGCCACTAAGGATATAATGAAGTTGCGAGTCAGTATTTCATGAGTGCAGCACTAAATAATACTAACATCTTCCTTTTTCCTAATTTGAATATTATAAACCTCGAAAGCTCAAGGGAATAAGTCTTATGTTGAAATCTACAGAGTTTATTCTCTGTTTCAATAACAATCCAACTTCATCAATTTAGTCACGCACGAAATAGTACGTGCTCACACATTACCGGATCGCCTCTAAGCATCGTGTCTGTATATGTAAAGTTTGTTAGAAGAATGGTAAAGTACTGCTTCATGACATTGTCTGTTGCACAGTTTAGTCCGCTAGAGAGTAAGAGTCAAACGAAATTTCTCTGAGCGGAACTTCTGATTACTGCTTTTCGAAGCCGCCCGAGAACTGTTGATGGCATCGTCTATTGCATACGAGACGGCATCGAAAGATATGCTGATAGCTGTTAGAAAATAGCTAACACACAGCTGAGATTTGTGTTCATTCATTACGGCGAATAGCGAGCTTACAAAGCTGTAGAGAGGTATGTATTATTATCGTAGCTGTTGATGTTGATTGCCCGTAAACGTATCTTTTGATGACCTCGATCTTTCCGTTGTTCTCAGTACGTACCGCGTTCTCAGCGGAATAGCCGCCCCGGTCAAGCTATTTCGAGACGAATCGACGAGGTGGGGAAGGTCATTAAATGAATGCATTCCTTCGGTATACCTGCCGGCCATGTCTGCAATAAAGCATCTCCTTTAATATAAATACACCTCGAATGCACTTGCATTCTTTACCCTCGATGTAGCCTAGTCTCTGCTGCTTCCGAACCATACGGGCTATTCGCATCTGTGGGACGTAAGGAAGCGGCACATGTACACCCAGACACAGGGCACGAAAGGACACGGCCTACACAGCAGACAATACAGACGTGATTCCTTTACGGGCGACGGAGGGTGAATGGTGCCAGTGAATTCGGCGGTGTGGTTTAGTGCCAGCGTAACGGCGTACTCGATTGATCATTAATTACTCTTTATTCGTACGGGGGAACTTTGTTTTCCAACTTTAGACACGAGGCTGTCGGCGACCGACTGCGGTTTAGACGGTAAGGTTTGATAAAAGCGAACACGACCGAAGATCGTGTAAATAAATTCTCGTCTTCCTGAATTCTAAATGTAGAAAATTCACGAGGTCCGTTCCACGAATGTGAACGAACAGGCACAATCTTCGCTATACATGTGCGATCTGTTAGATCCTGGCCTCGGCGTGACCCTTCTCTGCCCCGATCTCGTTTCGACACGGAAGAAGACTGAAAATTAGGCTGACTGGAAGACACTGTCCTGCAACCGTAGCCGTGTGGGCTAGTGGGTGGCTTGCTGATGTGCATGTTGTGTTTGAGTTGCCTTAGGCATGACGCTTTAAGGTCATACGTTATAGTGTATTGCAAGCAGAATCTTGACTAACAATATTGTCAACACCCACGCGCAATATCATATGTATCTGCGTACATAGGCAAAATAGTTCTTTACCCTTCTGGCTACTTTCTATTCCCTTTGACTGGTAGTGTTTCTTTGCAATGTGCATCAACGTCCTCGAACTCGTATACAACTCTTACAAAGGCAACTACGGATGGACTACGCAGGAACTGGCTGTTTCGTTATTCGTCAGCACCGAGCAATACTACCTCACGAAGACTTCCGCCATTCTGTGAGGTCCTCGGTTAACTGATACTCTTCCAATTTGCATTTTCTGTTACCGATTTTCGAATACGAGTCCTGCCAGCTTCACCTGCTGCTGCTATCGGGCTGGTCAGCAATCAACCCTTCTTGCGTTGGTGCCTGTTCTGCCCGTCGTTGCACTAGCGATTGCCTCCATACTCGCCTGTGTTCTAATAGTCCCTATCGATTGAGAAAACAAACATAATTCCATACGTTCTACGTGGTGTTTCCCATGGCATGCAGTTGTCGCCTGGATAGTTTCGCTGACATAGCTTTGTGTTGTTGTTGTTGTTACCACTGCTGTTGTCAACATCATCGCATTCGTCGACGCCGAGCTTTCACTCGCGTCCTTCCGTCGTCCTGTGAGCCCAATCCTGCGTATCTTCTATAGTGCAAGCCAGAAGGGTGTATCCTGTCATGCGTCTGCAAAGGAAGGTAATACAAGAATTCAACACAGTATGCATAAACCGCCTATGCAATTGATGGGATAGGTGCGCGCTTGCGAGTCAAACGATAGGCGGTGCTACTGCAACTGTTGTCTTTATATTGGCCGGGGTGTGTTTTTATTTAGCTTATTAACGAATAAAGGGGATGAATATCGTTTGGAAATGTTGACAAGACAATTTCTGTTGGTACATCCATAGTACTCGTATTATTAGTGGCGTAATAACGTGGCAACCAGTGCGATAGAACTCCCGTACTCGAGCTCTACGAAGAGATTCCATCATCTATACCCATAAAGTAATAGAGGCCATTTATAGCATGGGCTTACTAGGAAGAAAGACCTTTGCAAGGCGAAAATTGGACATGAAGGTGTGATACATGATTAAGGACCGGAATACCGCGATAGCCAAGAGCGATGTCCTTTCCAGTCTGCTTGCCTTTGCTCTGTGTCGTTTGTCGAAGCGCCGGCTACTCTACTAACACCACGCCAAACGCTACGTATCGTCACCGCAACGAGATCCCGATGTTTTGTTTAACCCACCAACCTCATTCCGTTCACACTAAAGTAGAATTACAAATAGAACAATTGAAACAAAAAGAAACTAAACTAAGAAAGGAATGAAAGGCACTATGGTGGCTGTCCTTCTTACTATAACCTTTAGTCGTATAGCCTTCTCTCATCTACAGGTCAGAAGGGGAAAAACCGTAAGCCAAAAGCGAGGCTGGCACAAAGTAAGCGACGATACAACTAGCTCTGCGTAGTGAGATCTCAAGGGGCGCTATCGCTGTGGCTGCCCTACCAACGGCTGCTCCGTTTGCGGCAGCGGCGGCTTCGGTTATGACGGCCAGCTCGGCTGTTGACGTTCTCAGCTGAGCATTGTTTCGGCTCTCGTTGAGTATTCCGTTCAGGTGGCAGGCCAGCTATCTTGAACAGCTGTCGATGTCCGCACAGTGGTGGCGGTCGGCCGACGGCCGGTGATGAGTTGGCTGACTGCGTGTGTGCGCGGCCAATAAAACCATAGAAAACTTCTGCCGCAAACACGTTAGCGCCGACGCCGACAAAGATGATGGAGAAAGCTGAAAAAAGGAGCAACCGGTAGGAAGGAAAAGATGGATACGTGGTAGAGGTAAAGCTTTTGTTGGTCTGGCCGCACCGACCCCTTTACATTGTCGTCGTTTTAGTCGAGACCAGCCAGCGCATCAGCCACCTGTAGCAGAAAAAAGCGCTGAAAGAAGAACACTGTTCAAAGGTCATGCGCAGGCCTTGATCGGCCCTTGAGAGGCAACGCCTAAGAAGAATGGCATTACCCCAGTTGTACACATGAACGCCAGTGAAACACTGTAACAACCTGTGGCGCAATAACAAAGACTAAACAAAAACTGGACGCCCTAGAAGCTGACGCTCCTACCAGATGAGGCAGAAAGGTGCGATGACTCGGGAAAGTTTTTTCGAGGTGCTTTTTGGCCAGTAAATAATCATGTTCCCATAATATTGCAGTGGTGAGATGTTTGCTTACTGAGCTTTCGGAGTGAGGTGGTTTAGGTTGGAGATTAAAGCAGATGACGTTAGCTTTTTTTTTACTATGAAGTAGGTTTCAGAGCAGAGCAAGGGCGTGTTCTGGGTAGGTAGTACGACTCTTTGCCGTGGCAACCGTGGGCAAAAAACATTCTGACCAATGCTGGTTCAAAACGTAGCATTAGCAAATGAAAACACAGGACTTATTATGAAAAAGGAGTTAGAAGAGGTAGTAGTTATTATGCTGCGTTACAGGTTTGTTGCAGAAACTTCAGCTATATCCAACAGGGTTCCTCCCGCCAGTCTTCAGAGCAAAGGTGATTCTAAAATTTTGTCCTTTATATGAGGATAACTGACGACCAGCTTAGGAAATTCGAAAACGGGTATATACCCTAAGTATCATGCCGTAGGCCAGCTGTCTAATCTAAATCTCGTAGGTCTTCGTAGTGAATAATTTGTTCCTTATAGTTGGATTTGATAAATTTGGTACTATTCTATTGATTCGTATGTCTTACGACTGTGTGTTTAGATCATATCTTTTGTTTCTACCTTGCATGGATTACTTAAATTTAAATCTTATCCATAATCAACCACTTCTTCAAATCGCGCTCATTGACCTTTTGTTAAATACGAAGGATGTCAGAGGTACCATGCATCATGTGCAAACAAAATAAAGTTGTGTCCGAACTTCTGACAGTTTGCTCGCGACTGGAGAAGTGAGAACCGGCAGCGAGATTTTGGGCTAAGGATGAATGATCCTGAACATTTATCTCCTTAACATTATATGGTTAGCGTTACATGGGTTTCATTGCAAGGATAAATTTAGGTGAAGCTAGATGGTATCCTCTGATTAACCTAACTCAGTTATTTAGTAATGCGAACTTCGATCCCATTGTCTGGTATGACTCGGTAACTGAAATCAATTATGTTAGAAACAAGTATCATTGAAATTTCCTTGCGGGTGCTTGAATCGAGCTGGCTAGAATGCAGGCAAAAGCGCGTTCCATTACTGTTTGATCCAATCATCAAGCAAATAAATGCTTGTCGAACAACAGACGAATATGCAAGCCAAAGACAAAAAGACCAGAGAAAATAGAGTCCTTCCAGGTAGCAAATGGGTTTACGGATTTATCGTGGCTCTAAGCTTTGCTTCGTACGATGAAGGACAACTTATTCGAATGGCCCTTGAACGCTTGTTTACTAGAGCGGTACAATATCTCGACTGGCTGACTTCGTTCCGTTTTTCTCGGTCGCAATCGCTCAGGGTGGCTCGCGCGTACCTTCTCACACACTTGGTTTCTACACATTGTATATTGCATCCACCCATCCCTTTCTTTCAATATAGGCGCCTCTTTCATTGACATATCTATATTTTTATAGACGTATTTCTGCCCAGCCTCCTCCTGCTGCTTCTCGGGTTATCAAGCGCCCGTAGTCCTTAGCGGCGTGCATTTCAAGTGTAGATCTTTTTGAGATAGCTAACCCTACATGGTGAAAATCTATAAAGAGATCTCTAGTCGCTACTGTTGCTAACCCTTTTTCAAAGGTTCGTTTTTTTTGTTGTATGCCTGACAGCGCGGCGGGAACCTTCGGCCGAACACAAACGCAAAATCGGAGCAAATCTTGGAAAGAGGAAAAGTACGAGCGGATACTGATTGATCCGCAAAAGACGAGAAAGACATTCTTAGAGATTTGGCCACGCAAAGGATGAGCGGGAGGTTGAGCTGAGCTGGACTGGGCCAGCCTGAGCAAACCTCCGGCACAAGGCCACAGCTACTCATATCGTACTTATGTAGCCGCTTATATTATCGATAGGCAGCCACGCGGTGCGGCCACTCACGTCAAAATGCTTCTTCAGATCATCGAGGAGCGTAAAGACATCTTGCTCTTGGAAGCTGTCGCCATAGGCCCCGCCATCCGAAACGCTCCCAACGAGTCCAAGGGTTAGCAGAGACGGCTAGCCAGCCAGCCAGCCAGCCAACGCCAATCTACGGAAGCCAAACATACGGAGGATGAGTACGATTGAAGATAGGGGGAAGCGAAAGAGCTGACTCATCTCAGTCGATCGAATGTGGGTTTGAGAACAGTTCTGAAGACGAACGGATCGAGATCTTGATAGTACGGCGATCTTCAGATTAGTTTATAGTCATTTCAACATAGCCTACAAAGCAAACGAAGACTAGCAGCAGCGAAAGCAACAGAACTGAAAAAACAAGTTTGCAGAAATGTCGAGCGAATTGGTGCTTTGGCAAATAGTATTAAGGCTCCTGCTGTAGGGATACGAAAATTGTTATTCAGCTCAGGGACACGAGCTGATCTAAAATTGAATGTTTTACTAACTGTCTTAAAAGATTACTAAAATTAGTTAAAGGAAGATTATGTCAAGAGACTTTCTACCGGATAAGGGGACAGAAGAACGTCTTAACCTCAATCAGCTGTGAAACACCGTAGATTATTTACAAAATCAGTAGCCCTTCAAAGTTTTTGTTCGCTGCCATAAGGAAAGGATAACAATGATTACTTCAAATAAATGATCTCCACTTGTTAAATTATTTTCCCTAGTTTACTGTTCTCATTTAACAGCATTCGAATGTAATCCCCTTGACCGTGAGTCATCCACTCGTTAGCGCGAACGCATAACTGTATACCGCATCTGTTGTTACTGAGTGAGATCCTGTGGCGGTATGAAATCCTATGAACGGGCTAGGAATATTACATTTAGCGTGGGCCATCTTGCTCGAGTCAATGGTATCACGTAGAGGGCATTTGCATGTGTGTGCATTTTTGCGCTGTGCATGCAATAAACAAGATCGATTGCGGTTCGGTGTCTTCCGTTATTATATTATGTTGCTAGTTGTAATGGTGGCAGTGGCAGTAGTACGAGGCAGCGACCGTGAACTATAGAAGCGTATTGGACGACTGCTTGTCCCTTGTGTAGAAGTTTCGTTGTTGTGCATCCAAAATCTGTGCATGGCTTTTCAATGCAACAGCGGCCACAGGAACAGAAATAACAGCTGGTAAGAGATGGCCCCCAGACGCGCAAAAGCATTCGTTTCCTCCCTTCAGCTTCATTCCTTTGTTTCCCGCTCCCCCCGCTGTCGTTACCTTTGACCAGTGCTAGTGAGAAATAACGAGCCGAGTCAAAGTAGGGAGCGATGACCAGGATTGACGGTATTATTATGGTGCAGATGGTTTTTTTCCACAGAGGACACAACCACGCTTCTTTTGCCATCCGTGCCCCTATAAGGGCTTCACTGCAGGAAAACTGCTCAAAATATTCAGTCAATTGATATTTGCTAAATTATATTATTTTCAATATATAGTACATGGCACGCATTCAGAGAATAAGGAAATTATTAGTCAAATAGTACTGGTCTTTTGTTGCTCTAGTTACGATGCTCTATAGGCAAACATGCTGCTTATAGACACTATGTACTGCATTTGAGTCACTTGCTCAAACAGTGTTTTCTTGTTCGTGCCGGAACTTATGCAATTTAAAATTGTGGTCATGATGATCGCACCCGACCAGGATGGGCGAAGAAGACCTACACGGTTGACAGTATTTGGGGCTGGCTTTATTTAGACCACCTTTTCAATTCCGAGCGATAAAACGTCATTGTTTTCAATTTCACCAACGTCATTTTCCGAGTCCTCCCACTGCTGCACATGCTTTAGTAGGAAACAAATGGCATTAAGTGAGCAAGAGGTTATTTGAATTGATGCGCTCCTTCTTGCTTTCGGATATTATCTTAAGAACAAAAAGCTTTGTCGTAATAATTTCTTCGGTCAAAAATGCTACATGCTTCCTATATCGTATCGTAATCTAGCTTCTGTACTGTGACAGGGGCCTGACACAAGGCCAACGTTTGAAAATGGCACTTGAGTTGACAGGATGTCATTTAGACGATAGCGTTTCGCAGGACTACGTTTATTGCTCGAAACTGTTTCGCACAGGTGGGCATTGACGTCAATGGGCTGTGTGTGGGTGAGTCACATCCGGCTGATCAGGTTGGCTCGTACTATCCTGACTCAAAAGTTATTCCCGTTAGTAGAGGATCCAAAGAGACTGTATTACCATATGTTCTACTGAGACACGTACAAACGGTTCAATTAGACTTACATGGGTCTCAGAACAAAGCTAGAATCGGCCTATTAAAGATGCTTTACGGTAGGTCAGCTATATTAAATGTTGCTGGTATTCACATTTAATATAGCTGACCATTCACGTTTAATTTCAACTGGCTGAGAGCGGGTGGCTACACGCCATCTTCGACAGGAAATTCTCGTATTGAAACAAAGGAAAAAAAGATTCAATAGAATAAGCAGTTAGGTTTTTCCAGGGTTTAAGATCCGACTATTAGCCCGATGTTGTATGTATGAAGTAGAATATTACTTTAAACCTAGATATTTCTGCTAGTTATTTGCTTTCAACATACCCATTGGAATTTATAACACATTGTAGAATTCATTGCAATTATTTGATGGGTTTGAGGTACGAAAGTTAGAATCAAACCATAGCCATATTGATAGAATTCCGTAAATCGACAAAATTGGAAGCCGCAAAACCAGGTCTTCTGCGAGACCATTCTAAGAACACAAATAATATTAACATTTATTTTGTCTATCTCGGGAACAATTTCTATTTTTCCATTCCATTTAATTCATTAACAATGTGTATTATTGAAATTAGATAAACTAAAAAGATCTAGAGCTGATAATGTAAGTGATCTCTTAAGAGCTTATCTTCATGCGTATTTGCTTTACGAATCAGGTGAATTCACTCGTTAGTTAACATCATCCCGTAATTATCGTTTGCGCATGGCCTTGGCCGATTCCAGGAGCCGGCCTGCCTTTAATGGCCTTGCCCTCCTACACTCCATACGACCGGCCAGAGAGCTTAACCCAATATTAGCGAAGAGCAGCAAACGATGTGGCATCGATCATAACAACCGAAGCGTCCGTATCAATTTAAATGTTACTGAATTGCAGTAAGCGCACTGAGGCGGCCCAACTGATAGGCTTGGGCGACCCACCGCTTGAATCCAGAGAGCTTTTTCGTTCGATGTTTCAAAAAAATATGGCGAAAATGATTTTCTCATTGGGTCAGTCGCTATTGGGAATTGCATTGAAATGTTATTTCCTGAGTGCATCATTGCACCCCTTTTTGTTGTGTAAACTAGCATTGAATATACTAGGAAAGCTTACTTACGCATGCATTTTGCGTAAATAGCAATATCACTGAACAAATGGCGGGCAACAACAACAAATAACGGATGAACGCATGCTAAATAAACTGTTACTAAAGCTGTTACTAGAGCAGCTTTTTAGCCAGCATTAGGCAGGCGCCAGCCACATGCCAACACCGAAAGTCTACATCGAAAGTTTAATGTAATATAATTTTCGACCTCAGATAAAGTAATATTTTCTAGAATCTAGCTCAACTAATGACGAGAAAATTGAGCTTGATGAAAAAATATTTTTTCCCACTTGGTCGTTACTATTCATGCAAAGTAGATCGTTCTTTCGCTTTGTTTTTTAAATACGCATAGTTGTCATGACGATGACGGTGCTCTAAGATATCAACAGAAACGTGTCTCGAGCATCGATGCTTTGAAGTATTTTACGGAGGACCGCCGCTACTCTTTAGAGAATAACAACTTTGAAAAAGTCTTCCCAATTTCTTATTCATTATTGATTCTTCCTTCATCACCCGCTAGAACGTCCGTATACTGCCAGTATTGCTGCTTGGTGGCTTACCTATCGCATCATAGAATCTCAATTATTCTCGGAAAAAGCACAACGTTTCAGGACTAGCAAGACCAGCTTACAGGAGTCCTGAATCTTAACGTAATGAATTATATATACAGCTGCTAGTATTGACTGAGCTGCTGCGAAAATTGTCATATGTACGGACAACAAAACCCAAAAACCCGCATATATATTGCACTAGAAGCCCAAAAGCAGCTGGCCTGCAACCCGTTATTTGGACGCTACTATACAGTGTTCGTGTTTGGCCACGTCATCGCTTAGTCAAGTGGCCTCTCATGAACATTATAGCTGACAAAACAAACTCGGTGTTTGAGTCACTCACTTACTGAGTCGCTATGACGTCCTTCCCTCAGAGCCCTTTCCATTCGCCTGCGCTAACTACGCACAGTACCTTGCGATACCCCTCGTCCAGACTGCTCCAACATCGTCTTTGGCACAAAGCTTGCTTGCGTGAACTAGAAATCCGTGACCCTCTTAGTTCACAAATGATTCGAATAACTGGGGCTAGCTTATAATGAGCGTTTTTATTGCAAAAGGTGTCGAGCGCATGTTCGTTTTGTCTATCTAAGCGATGACTGCAGTTCTTCATCAGCAGTGAAGTACGTGGTCCACTTTAGGTATAGTAGAAGAGTGCCAGGTTTCACTTTATCTGCTAATAATATCAGTGACTAGCGCAGAAGTACCGAAATAATTTCGGCATACGGCAGATGGGTCGGAAACTAGTCTGACAACTGTTTAGCAACATAAATCTACATTTGAACTAACTATTTGACATACTCGAAGTATCAAACATAGATAGTAACTCTGATTGAACAAAGCATTTGGGTTGTTACTTATATTTGTCGTAGAAAATAAATGAGAGTACACATTTTAAGGTTTCCTAGGTGTACATAAATCCTTTGTATAAAGAAGCAATTTTCATTAGGCAGGCGCTTGGACGATGATTCTTCTATATGCGTTCGGGATTTTGCGATGCTTGACATGTACAGACAATGCTGCCATTGTTTAAGAAAATTTATGCCTTACTGCTGTAAGAGCAATGCCCATAAACAATACTTGTGGGTTGTGTTATACATTATATCTATAGATCGGTCCAAGGTACCCTAAAAGGATCTCTGCGTAATGCCTGCTGCTGCTATATACTTTGTGGGATTTATACGTGAGAAATAGAGAACCCGTTCCAAATACAGCGGCAAACGTCTGCATGTTTGGGATAATCGTCACCATTGATATATAAGTGACACCACATTGATCGATCTGCCCGTTCCGAAGTTCAATGATCCGATCCCTCCTATTAGTTGTTGCTTAAATCGGTACGCGCCTATTTGCTTTTTAGTTGACTTTCTGCGACAACCGTTGCAACAACCACTAAGGTGACGAAATTTCGTAGCGAACTGGGATATACAGACATCTGCCTTAGGAACCCTCTAAAATCTATATGCATAAAATTTGTTACTTTTTCATATAGACACAAGTCGATCCTCTCATTTACCGCATACGTTTTGTTATCCGCAGGAAGAATCTCTTCTTCGTAGCATAATGTTGTTGCTGTGGTAGTAATAATAATAATTAACATTATTATTACAGGCATGTATGTGATATTTTCGCCGAACCCGAGTATACACGCTCCCATTTTCGTCCTTGACGAAGGAAAAAAGCACCAATTTTCATTTATTGTCATAACCATGGACTCAGCCCTTAGCCGTCGCAAAAAAATCAACTTAACTGTACGATGAC